TAAAATTAAAAGAAATAAACATTAAATTATATTGAGGATAAAAAATTATACGCTACTTTTATTTTTAGTCGACTGAATTTATCTTTTTATTAATAAATATATTTTTTTAATTTCACAGTGTGTAGCATGTAAAAATTCATAAAAATTAATTTTGATTTTATAATTTATAACAACAGAGATAAAAATGCTTTCAAATAATTTACAAGTTATGACCTAAACATTTTTGACTTTAATTTCACATTTTTAGCCTTTTGCAATGTAAATGCTGTCGCTCAATTATTATTCACATTCAAAACGTCGTCGTTATCAGCGACAATGTGAGAGCGTAGTAATTGACATTTACCACAGAATAACCAACTGCATTCCCTGCCCCAGCGTCCCCAGGCTCCTCTCCAACCGCAATTCTAATGAGTTTGTGGCAATAGCTAACTGTCAACTCGTCAACAAAATTATGCAGGCACAAATGTATCTCACAGATACAAATATATATAGGAGCTGACATGTGATAGTAAATTGGATTTGAATGGCAAAAGCTGCAATGGGCAGATTATTTGGTTTACCCAAATCAGCAATCATATATTTCTAAAATATTTCTTATCTATTTGCATATCTTTAATCGCTTATCGATCAGACGAATTATGTACGATAATAACAAACGCTGACAGTAGTCAAAGAATGTATTTCATTGATTCATAACTACCAGCTGAAACAGAGAGATATGTATTTCACCTTCTACAAGCTGCTCTGTTTAATATGCCTCATATAGACTCTTATTATTGCTGGGTATTCAAATCGATGAATATGTGTTGCACAACATTTGCTGCGAATATGGTCACAATATATAATGAATATTTCGAGCAATTGAACAAGAAGAGCAGCCAAAAATATTTGTATACCAATGCAAATACAAACACAAATAAAGCATATAGATATATGTATATTTTTACAGCTGGCTGGCTAGAGTTGAGACTGTTGACGGGTTGACTGTGTGTCGACGCGCGAGATGTCATCAGAGAAAGCAGCAAGGCGTGCAAAAATAATAACAGTAACAGTTAACAATAACAGTAACAGCGGGAAACCAGCTGCAAAAGTACCCAAAGCAAACATGAAAAAAAAATAAAAATAAACAAAACCCAAGAAAAATCTTATAAAAACTTGCACTAAAGCCGCAAAAGCAAATTGTGCAAAATTCGAAGGCAAATTGAAAAACCACTGAAAAAAGCAAACAGATAAAAACGTCATTTGCATATTGCTAAAAGCCATCGAAAGGGGCTCCAGCCGAAGGCATCAAAAAAGTTCAATGTTTAATGACGGCGAATTGTTTAAAATTTTGGCAAATGTTGCAATCAAATATAATTGCTTCAATTGTTTTACCCAAATACACAAGGAATTTAAAGCTGAAACTAGCTTAAAGACACAATTGGTATTTAATATAGTACGCCTCTCTATGCAATTCTCAGAAATAGCCAAGTTAGAAAGCTCTTGAAAATGTTTGTTTATTTTTATTCACGATTTCTAAAACAGTTCAAAAATTATAAGTTTAAAATTATGTAAATCGTATGTTTTGAATATCCACAATTCAGCTCTCAGCAATGTCTGCAATATCTATAAATATATGACATATTGACAGCTCATGGTTGGGCTTTACATACTCCAATGTTTCCTTTGCTTCTCTGACAGCTGCTTTTGCGCTTGAATTGAATTTCTTTTTAATTACGTTTTATTTCATTTTTAATTTATGCCCAAAAGCACTTGATGTGCTCCAAGAGCTGACTGGAGTAGCACTTAATGCACGTACCTACATATATACGTATATATTATATATTGTACATTAATAGCCTCCCACACACACACACACACACACACACACATGGTTTGCACACTCAAATTTCACTTTTTGTCAGCTTTTGTTTGCTTTTTACTTATTATGTAAGCAACATTTAAAATAATAATTAAGCATATACTTGAACTAGTTCAGCTAATGGGAAATGAATCAAGACAAATAAAAAATCTGCTCATACAAGTGAATTTAGTATTAAATAACCTAAGCTTTAATATTTTTACAGTATTTAATTATCTTTAATACATTTATTTTATATCTAGTTTATTAACTTTCAAGTACTTTTTATGGCTGCCATCAAAGTCATGTAAAAAGAGTAAGCCAACCCATTTCTGTTACAATAAATCAGAAAAAATAAAAAACATTGC